GGCACTGGGTTTGGGGCTGTTGCATGGGAGCATGTCCAGCTGAAGTGGCAAAATAAGCACCTAAACTAGTGTGTGGGCCTCTGCGGATTTGCCTGTGGAAGTGGTGGGACCTGGCTTGGGGGAACAAAGCTGGGGACAGGGGAAGGGGGATCCTGGTGGATGCTGACAACCTGTGACTCTCCTCTCCATAGGGTGAAGGCAAGGAAAGCCCAGAGGAGGACCACACCTATGAGGTAATGCTGCAATAATTATAAAGTACCTCTGTAGTATCAACCTGAGTCTTGAAATAGCCAGTTGTGCCCTTGCTGGGTGTCTGCTAGGGAGCACCAACCCTTGCAGGGTGCATCAGGGCATCTTCCTTTCAAGTGCCCATTGCACAACAGCCGGAAAGAGCTGCTCATAAACCAAGCCAAGCTCTGAGCACATCTAGCTCCCTATCTCCATCCTCTCCCCTCTCAGAAGCTGCCCTGGTCTCTAGGGGAATAGCCTGGAGATAGGTCCCCCTTGGAGGGTCCTAAGGGGATGGAACCCCACTGCAGATAGACCCACTGTGGATGGAACCATGGTCCCCCTCATGTATCTCAACCTCCTTCTTCCTGGTGCAGGGCCTGGAGGTGGAGCAGATGGCCACCTATGAGGACATCACTCCTTTCCGGGATGTGAAGGCCAAGTGGACAGTTGGGGAGCACCCAGGTGAAGAGTGAGGGGTCCTGCACCCACCACAGGCCGGCACCGGTGGCATGGCTCCCTGCCAGCACCCTGCCGGCACCTGCGGGGACAGGCCCCTGCTCCTGCCCTGGACCACAGCTCTGACGGACACCTGGATCCTGGGCTGCAACCACCTTCAGCAGCCTCGCGCAGAGCTCGGGTGGTCGCTTTGTCGTGTCTGGGCTGTGCCCACCGAGGCTGCCCTTGCCACGGCTGTCGCTCTCACCACCCCGCTGATGAACCCCTAAAGCCTACGTAGAAATTAGAAGCCACCTGCAAGTCCCCTGGTAGCAAACTGGCCCCAAACCCCAGGCAGCCCCACACCACGGTGCTGAGCTCCTGCACGGTTAGTGCAAGGAAGTACCAGGATGGGTGGCGGGTGTCCTCCAGCCCCACCATCCCTGGGAAGGAGAGGATGAGGCGTGATCACTCTCGGTCCTGGCTGCAAGACCCCACTGCAGCCCTGGCAGAGGAGCTAAGGTGAGCAGCACCATGTGGGTGTTATGAGAAGTAGATTTTGGGCCACTGTTTAGCTTTCAAGCCACAGACATCTCCAGCAGGCCAAGCTGCCAGTTGTCCGAGATGAAGGATCCTACAAAATCACCTCTTTCTCCACAAAGACTACAGAAAAACCTGGAGAGGCATCTCTTACCCAGAGGGTCTTGCACAAGTCTTACTCCTCTCCAAGCAAGATCTGGCCCACGTCACAAGGACGTCCCCATGGTGAGGGACACATCCCACCTCAGAACCTATGGGAAAGATGTAAATTGTGGGACACAAATGTCCAACTGCTTTTTCAAGTTCTAATAAAGGTAATGGGTAACTTCACATCCTGCTCCATCCTGCTGAGCCCAGTCCAAGGGTGTCCCATAACCCTGGTGCCAGTGTCAGTGGGATGCCCTGGAAATAAGGAGCAGTTTTTCATGGGTCTATCTCAGCTAGAAACCAAACTTCACCTGGTCAGGGCCCTGAGCATGGGCAGGGATGTAAAGCCAAGAGCCACCATGGGGCTCTTCTGGAAGCTCTCGCTGAGCACGCACAGGGGGTCTGCAGCCCCAGGACACCAGCTGGGGATGAGAGACAAAGACCATCGCCAAGATCCCAAGCAGAACAGGGCCCAGAGCCAGGACCTCTGCTCCTGGCAACATCTGGTCTCATACGAGAAATTAAAAAACATCTGGAGAGGAGCTGAGCGGCACTAATTGGTTTTGTTAATAAAAACGATTTTGGCATGGCTGCAGCAGCTGTGTGGGTGACGGGGCTCAGGGCTGGCTGGGCACCCAATGCCAGGGCTCGGGGGGGCCGCAGAGGCATGGCTAGCTCAGCGTGGTGGGTTTGAGGTTTGGCTGGACCAGGCAGGACAAGGAGGTGACAAGGACCTTGGGGCTGAAAGTCTGTCCTCCCTGGAGAGGCCAAGGCCCCTGCACCCCACCATATTTCAGGCCCCAAGGAGAGGAAGACAGGACCGCTCTGCTTCCCAAAACAGCCGGCAGAAAAGGGAGGGCGAAATCGTGAGCAAACAGGGCTTTTCAGCAGGGAACAGGATGGTTCTTGTTTAGTAGTAAACCACTTTCATGGAAAACTGGTATTCAATTTAAATAGCACAAAACCAGCATTTTAAGGTTGATTTTTACTAGTTAAATAAAACTATCCCAAATTAGTTGCATGCACATGTATATAAATGTTACTTAAACATGTTTTACTTATAAAATTGATTAATTAAAGAAAGGAGCATTTACAGCGAGAGAAGCGAACTGGCTGTTCCTGTTTTCCATGTTTGCCAAGACTTTAGTACTAGCAGAGCTCATCTCTCCAGCCCTTGTTTTTAGTTATGAAATGCAATAGGAAAGCAAATTTTCTGACCTTCCCAGTTCCCAACCACTTTCTCAGCTCGGCATAAACAACTTGCTCAACTGACTTAACTGAATCATACAAAAATAAGGAGAATCTGCTGTTTGCACCTGGAGAGGAAGCCACTGGTGTCAAAAGCAGTTTCAGCGACCCCAGTTCTGCTCTGCCGCTTGGCCACCCTCTTAACCCAGGGCTTTAAAATGTCTGAAGCAAACAAGTATTTCTGTAGTGTGAGTCTTTTAAATGCTTAGACTAGTTCCTAGGGATCCTAGAGATAGGGGGTTTTTTGATTCTATATTGAGTTAGGTTTGTATTTAAAATGCATTTAATGTAAATAAATATATTTCAGTATATACAGTCCATATTCTGTATTTTGTCCTGATCTGTATCCCTACCATCAGCACAATGGCCAGGCAGCCTGGGTTACAGAGCTGGACCTCTTCAGCTTCATCTTTAGAAATGGCTTCTGTGAAACTTAGCAGTTCTGGTTCCAGTCAGTAAAACCATCAATTCAATCTGAAAATGAATATTTACCTTCCAAGCAGTGAGCTAGCAGAGGTTGTCAACCGTCACACAAAACCTCTGCCAACCATGTCGCTGCCCACCGAAGTGCAGAGCCCGGGCCAGCAGCTGGCTCCTCGGTCCGGACTCCCTGGTTGCAGCTCGCCCATCAGCCTGGGAAGGTCGTCTCCACACAACCAGCCCAGGCTGAGGGGTCAGGAGGACTGAGGAGCACACACGCCTGCAGGGAAAGTGGCTTCACTTGTTTAGATGCTGCTGGTGACGCTCAGGGTAAGACAAGTGGACACAGGACCACCCTGAAGAGAACTGAGGGGGTTTTGACTCTTTCAAAAAAGAAAAGGAACTTGAGAATTAGAGACTGTCACGCTGCTTTATGAGATGCTACTTTGGGTGGCAAACGCAGGCATTTGAAAGCTAGAAAAATGCCAAGCTGGTATCTGAGAGCTGCTTATGCAACTGTAATTCTGCCAGTGGTGTGTGTTTGCCCAGCCCAGCATTTCAGAGTCACGCACTGCCTTCTCCACGACGCTTCTGCCTCATTGAATGCCCAGAGATGATCCGGGACAAACCAAGCCTCAGGGGCACTACACAGCCTGGATCATCCTGGCATCTCTGTGCTTGACTGCAAAATAAAAAATGTTGATTTAGCTCCAGAGCTAGAGAGGCAGCAGGGCAGCAAGTGATGAGCAGGACTTGGGTGCAAGGTGCTTTTATCAATCTCGCTGCGTGGTCGAGCATCATCAACAGGCAGCAGAGCCTGTGCTGGGCTGGGGTGCCTGCTGCTCTGCTCATCTCTGACAAATATTGACATATTTAAACACGACTGGAGTAGAAAAACACACCCAGATGTTGCTGGCTATTGGGTGACGGGATACCTGATAGCTGCAGGACCCACTGTTCCCTCTTCTCTAGGGGCTGACATTTACTCTGCAACACCACCATGACTCCAGGGAGCAAACACCCAGGGGCTTCTCGGAACAGACCGCGCTCTCCCGGGCATGTTTATTAATCAGCTCTTGCACCCTCTGCTCCAGCTGCCCCAGTGATGCCGCTGCCTCTCAGAAACCGAAGCCACACCAGGGTAGCACAGCAAACCCAGGGCCGGGGAAGCCAAATCACCACCCCTGAACCCCAGACAATAGGACAAAACAGGATGGTTTGGGGCAGGTGGTGCCTTACAAGTAGGAAAAGTCCTTTAAGCCCAACCTGGAGTTGCCCTTCCCAGGTTGTCTTGTTTTGCTCAAAAGCAGGGATACATGTGCTGTGACGTCTTGTCTTCCCCGTCCCCTCCACCTCCTTCCCACACCAGCCCTCTACTTCATCCAGAGATACCTCACGTTTGCATCTCAGGCAAGAGCAGGACACTCATATCCAGATCTTCTCATAGCCTTGTCCAGCCGAGGGTGTGAGAGACCTCCCAGTGCTCTGGCATCTGGATTTGCCATGGGCAGGCCGGCACACGAACGAGCACTTGGGTGTGAAAGCTCTTTGTCACACCTGTGGAAAACCAGCTCAGCAAAACTATTTGCTGAAATTTTGGTAGAAAATGAAAGAAATTACTTGGCAGGAATAGGATTCATATAACATCCATCTAGCTCTACTCCCACTAACAATAAAGGGGAAAACATCCCACTTGCTTTAGTTCAGAAGTCTCCCAGACTGGCCTGTGAGCCCTGTTAACTGCAGGCCAAGGCTGCAGAGCCAGGCAGAAGAATCAGGTGGACACAGCAAATTCCACTGTGTAGAAGCCCTGATCTGATTTGGCACAGGTCTTCCAATGATCAGGAAAGTTTTATGTGCAACAAACAGCAGAATATGGCGAAATCATTCAGCACTGATTTCACCTCTAGGCAAACAACCTCCCCAACCTTTACATCTATGTATAAATGACTACAATTAGGTAGCACCATTGCGAACACTTGTACATTTATGCATGGAGAAGATATAGAGATGTTGTTGTGATCATGGACACATATATACATTTTAAACAGAGCCCCTGCTATATAAGGGGTGGCTCAACAGTTGCCTTTACCAACCTAGATAAAAGGAAGAAACAGCCCCTGTCAAAGAAACACCTGAGCAACTCATCGGGCAGAAATGGCTCCAGGTACTTTTATTTATTTTCATTTTCAAGGATTGCCAGTGTTGCCGCATGCTTAGGGTGGTGGGAGATGATGATGGGGTGGTACTGTGGTGGGCTACACACTCTCAGTGCCAGCTCTAAATTAAAATGTGGCAACTTATAAATCAGTAATAAAAAATAATACCTTTCTCTACAGTGTGACTTTTTTCCATGAATAAATTTAGGTAGTCTTTAACCTAAATGGGGCAAAGAAAGGATGGAGAACATGAGGAACAAGGTCAAGCCGCAGATATAATAATTATTATTAACATAAATGTTGGCAGGGATATTAAAACTCATATTCAAAGCTTAAGACAGGGATCAGGATGATGTCTAATGCATATGTCCAAGTCCTACAGGCTCCAGGGCATTCCTCCGCTGAAGGGTATTTGTCTGAGATTAACTTTGTGGTCTGTCTAAGCATAGATGGACACTTGTGTGAGTTAAATGTCATGGCTTGGAAACCTTTAGGCTTGACAGAGATCACCAAATTCTAGAGGTATGTCCCAGAGAGCAAAAGCAGCTGGTCACAGCACAGCAATGTCATCAGCTCTTGCCCTAGCGAAGGCAGACACACAGTTTCACATCAGCAGCATGGCATAAGCCAAGGCTAAAGTGAGGTACTCCCAGGCCCTCACCTGGTACTTGCCATCGCCTGCCCTCACACAATGGGGAGAGCACTGTGCTCTTCTCTTGAGGGCAAGGCCCACGGAAAAACATGAGACTGTTAGGGAGAAACACAGGGCCACACTCTAGCTTCCATGGAGCGATGATGACTCTTCAGCCAGGAAGACACTGCTTGTAGCACTGGGCACAGCACAAGCCCCAAGGGCACGCCTAGTGGAAGGGGATAGGATTTCATTTGATTTTGGGAAGGGCTAAGCTCACCCACAGAGTCCAACAAGACATCAAGGAAGGTGAGTCCTCAGTCAGCACGGACAGAAGAGGCTGGGAATTAAACTCCAGGTGCCACCCCACTCCTCAGCATGGTCACTGCAGGACTGCTATCACCCTTCCTCTCCACTGTGCTGCAGGGTCATGGTTTTCTCCTCTCTTCATTGCTGTGATCACTCTGGGACTGCAGTGGCCACAGGAAGCTGCCACCTTCCCGGCCATGCCCCTTTCCAACCTGTTTGCCAACGCTGTGGTGAGGGCTCAGCACCTTCATCTCCTGGCTGCCGAGACATACAAGGAGTTCGTAAGTGTTGTGGCCTCCAGGCATCTCCTCCACATTAGCTTGACAGATTCAGGATGGTGTAACTTCCTAGAAAGAGCCTTTTCAACTATGGGTGTCTTCTCTGTCAGCTCTTGATGAGGCAAAAGGGTCTTAATAGGACTGGACATATTAGGTCCCATCCGACTGGACCCTGTCTCTTCTCAGCTCTCTGCCCCCACCTCTGGTCCTGCAGAGCCCCTCTCAGGGCCATCGCTGCCCACGTCCAAACCTACTGCACATGGCCAGCTCGCTCAGAGAGAAACCTGGCTCTGGAACCAATGGGGGATGGCACAGATATTTTGCAAAACCTTCCTGTGTCAGTCACCTTTGGCCTTGGGTGATTCTGAGTACTTAAAAGTATCCAGTTTCTCCTGTTCCCAGGAGCTGGCATGAGCTTTGGCAAGAGCTGTCCCTGGGGTCATCTACTCCTTGGAAGAACCCAGTCCAAGCATGTTTTGCATTCACCTTAGCACCTTCACTCAGTGAGAGGGAGACCTTTATGTCCAATAGCTACTGTCGCAGCATACAAACTCCTGCTTCCTGTCTGCCAACCCTCTGCAGAGACACCTCAAGTCTCTCACTTATTTCTTGCAAAGAGTAACCAGAACAGCTTGGGGAAGTGTCCATGATCTTCTCCCTGTACATGGGCAACAGATCTGAGCGTATTCGGGATGTCTCCGCAGGAACGCACCTATATTCCAGAGGACCAAAGGCATGCCAACAAAAATTCCCAGGCAGCATTTTGTTACTCGGAAACCATCCCTGCTCCCACGGGGAAGGATGATGCCCAGCAGAAATCAGTAAGTTCTCTCCCCTGGGGTAAGCACAGGCCTATTGGAAGAGCCCAGCTGTGCTTCAGTACAGGAATAGAGGGTTTCCATCTCTGAGCACTTCAGTGCTTCATTGCTCCTCTCCCTTTTTTACTATTTAAACCCTGCATAAAGAAAGACTCTTCCAGGTTACACTATAAGTTATACTCCCATCCCAAAGATGAGAAAAACTAGTATCTGCACAGGACATATGGCTGGGTGGTGCTCCTCAGCTTGCAAACTTGTCTGTATCTGCTGAAGCCCAAAGAAGTGGCACATCTCTGGGTCACCTCTGGGCTGTTTCAGAGGGAGCAGGACACAGAAGTAACTCTACCAAATACCTCATCTGCATAGCTTCCATCCTTTCTTTTGTTAATTTCAGGACATGGAGTTGCTTCGGTTTTCACTGGTTCTCATCCAGTCCTGGTTGACCCCGGTACAATACTTAAGCAAAGTGTTCACAAACAATCTGGTTTTCGGCACCTCAGACAGAGTGTATGAAAAACTAAAGGACCTGGAAGAAGGGATCCAAGCTCTCATGAGGGTAAGTTGGACCATGTAGCATGATTACAGAGTAACAGAGATCTCCTAGACAGAGGACACTCAGCTCTCAAGAATCTTCCACAGGATCCAAACACTATGAGAAATCTCTCTACCTTCCACTCTCAAGACCAGTGGCATCCCTTGGACCTTGCTTACCTTAAGATAATGAGATCATGACAACCCATTGCACAAGTTTCATCACTGGGGTGTATAAGAAAACACATAACCAATGTTAACAGCACTGCCATATCACTCAGATAGCAGTACAGACCACGAACATCACGACAGCCCAGACCCAAAGTCTTTCCAAACCCAGCACCAAAGAATACTCAGTCAGTTAAATCTCCCGTACAAACAGTAACATAAGGATGTTTGCTACATTTCCATGCAAAATACTTTAAGTGGCGTAAATTTTGCCAAGTTTGCAACCTGGCTTTAAGGACTCATAACATTTTATATAAACAGTGCATATAAATCCATACAGATGGAAGCCTATACTCCGATGCTTCTCTCATATTATACAGCACCCAGACAGGTGAGAGCTGGAGAGTGACCTTCTTCAAGGGTCACTCTTTAATTTTGCTTTCTTATTTTAAATGAAATCATTTATTATTTGCCAGGACACCTTTTCAGTTATGCTCACTCTCTATTTGCCAGCATCACCATGCAGCTAGAGCTCCAAGACCTGTAACTGTGAGAAATTAATCTGGACAATTATTTACATTTTCTAGCATTAAATAACTCTGAAAGTCAGGCCATGAGAGTAGAGATCTTTCGTCCTGGCACTTCAGCTGGATTAAGTAGGTGTATGTATCAGTACCGTTTCCAGATTTTGCTCTCCATTTGATATGTGCTTGAGCACTAGGAATCAGTACACAGAAACTAGACAAATAATCACATTTCATCCATTTACAACACTGTTTACTTAACCAAAAAGTCCTGTCCCAGCTAGTGAGAAAAGCAGGGCAGGAGGAATGGCAGGTTGCAAATCTCTGAGCTCCAGATATACGTGCCTTGGGTCTTGATTAGAACTTTGTTCACTGGGAAAGCAGGAGAAGAGAGATTTATTTGGTCAGTCCCCCCTCTCCTTGGCTAGAGTAGCTAAGGAGAGACCCTGCAACTTTCCCCTTAACACCCCAAAAGACATATACATCCCCC